ATTACCTAAAAATTAATTGTAATCTTCTAATAAAGCATTTATACTAAAGGAAAGAAAAGAGTGAATGCTCTGTGTCTATAAGAGTCTTTAAAATTTAATTATTTATTCTTATCATATGATATAATAGTATTTTATTATGTTTTTTAAAGACTTAATTTATATTTCTTTCTTACTCAAATCGTTGATAGAACAAAAATTAGAAGAATTTTCTATTAAAAAAGGGAACAAATTAAACAGAGAGCACATTTTTTTTCTTCTAATCACATAATGAGAATCGAAAAGGAAACTTGCAGAATTAAACAAGAAAAGTTTCTCTATCTATAATTTTATTTTATAACAATTCAAACGCACAACAAAAATTTTATCTTAATTCTTATCAATAGATATAGGGTTTCGGTGCAGGAGAGAAATTTTTAATTAGTATTTTAGAATTAATGAACCTTTCTTGTTATATATTTTTATTTGTAAATATGAAGATGTGGTCGAAAAATTCTGCTTATTGATGAAATAGAAATCGTTGCTAAAAAAGAGGAAAGCCGACAAATAAAAACAAAAACTAAAAAATAAACTAATTAAAAAATTTTTCCAATATTGTTAAAAAAATAAATAATGTTATAAAGAAAAAAAAAAAAAAGAATGGTATATCTCTCCCCTAAAATACAGTACGGTGATCAAATATATGTTAAGCTCATCAATTAAAAACTGTATGTAGAAATTATATGTACTATAGACAGAACGTCTTGCCAATGAAATGTTTACAAATTTTTAATTTCCTAAGAATCTAGGAAATCTGATATTCCATAATGTGAAAAACAAATAAACCTATAACAGCTGATGAGATAGACTTTCATAGCAATGAAAGTCCAATACAGTGTTGCAATTTTTATTTTACCATAAGTAATTGAATCTTACAAATTTCTTAGAGTTATTCAGTAGACAATCACCGAATAAAGGCAAAGCGAAGAACGCTAATGTAGCATTGCAAATTACTAATGTAGCCGCAATTACAGAGTCGATGATGAATCGACTTTCATGAACGGGAAAAGATGAACATTGCTGAAGGAAATTGAGATTTACACACGGAAGTTTATCAACTGAACATATTTTTATTATTAATAGCTTGATCCTAAATGTTAACTTTTTATTAAAGCGATATTAATTTTCTGATAATCTCTATAATAGTTATATAAATAAACATACTTAAGTCTAATTACATGACATCATTTTCGACAATCTGCAATTTGACTGATTGTGAATCATTTATTCTGTATCAAAATTGATCTATAACTTTTTTATTTTTATAAAATATAATTGCTTGTGTATAGATACTGCGTATAATTAATAATTATACGTTGCTTTCTCCGCACAATCGCGACATCGTCGCACGAACGATCGACAGCTTTTGGTTTACTAAAAATTGCGTTATCGAAGACGCGGTTTCCTCTCGTTCGTCTATAAATTAGTAAGCTCGGCTCAACGTTGCGAATATCAATTTAGTGCGGCGTGCGACGCGCGATAAAACTGAAATAAGGGAGCCGGATGGTCCAGGACGCGGCGCGCATACGAGGAAAGTGCATACCTCTTGCCACAGTTACTGGCAGTTTCCTGCGATAACCCCAGCATTATACTCATCTCCCCGGTGAACAGGACGGGGGAATTCACAATGGTCCACAACGACTGGGCCAACATTACGAATTAGGCTCGGTTACGCGTTTATTGCCGATTCCGGTTCGGGCCAGCGGCGTCGGTGCGTCCTTCCCCGCCGACGTCGAGGCGAATCGACGGCCGGGCGTCGCGCCGCTCGGCACCGACGCCACTGCCGAGACGAGAAGTATTAGCATTGGTTAGCTTTATGGGGCGTTCAGTTCCGCCGTTCTCTCTCGGCTCTGACTCCGCTGGCCCTCACTCATTCGCGAGAGCGAGATGAAGGGAGAAGGAGACAGAGAGCCGCCACGATGCACAGATCAATAAAATCTGTCTGTCTAGAAAAGTAATGCCAAATTGGCTCTTCGCTCTCCCAGCGCGTATAAATGCCACAAAGAAAGCGGAACAACGAGTGATGGTTTAAATTTTCTCGATAAGAGACGCCGATTTCAACATAAAAACTTTGGCTGGAATTTTGAAAATGATTATCCGCGGAAAAGATATTTTATCGAGGAAAGGAAAGAAAGTCTTTTAAATGTAGGTTCTGCGTGTGAGAAAAATCTCCTCGAATGAATAAAGAATGTGATAACGTAGAAAAATATGATTAATTAAAAACAGAATAATAACATCTCGAGGGTTGTCTAAATTAATCATTGTCGAATTTAGATAACGAATATCGCGGAACACTGCGATCCTTACCGGGTGCGCGTGTTTTTTTGCTAGATTATTGGTGTTCTTTTTTTCTCCGTTTCTCTTTCTTTCTTCTCAGTCTCTCGTTATGGTGACTGGCGAGAGTCCGAGAGGGTGGAAATTGGGGTGCGGTAATTATTAATCAATTTCCGTATTAATTGTTTTCTGGGCGGCGAGCTTAAGTGGTATGTTGTGTTCTGGTTCTTGGCAAGCTCTGCCCTGTAACCAGCTAAAGTGTCATGTGAGAAGATTAATTACGTCGCGGATATACGTTTTATGTGTGTCATACGAGCGGGTACTCTCTTCTTCGGCTCGATACGACTCGAAGTAGGCGAGGTCACGTAAAATCTGTTTCGAAGGAAATCACCCAGAAGGACGGTAAAATTTCCAAGTGCGGAAACATGACTGTTGAGAAAGATTCTGCGGAATGGCAACTCCTGGATCAGAATTTATATCAGATATAATCAATAAATATTATGTAATATGAATATTAATAATCTACTATGTTTAATCCATTTGCGCATTTAATGCCGCTAATTGTGAATAAACCTTTCAAAACGATGTTTCATTGCAATATTAAAACAAACAAATTGATATTTTGTATTGTATTTTGTATTACAATGTACAATGCTACATATTATATATATATTTCTTTGAAACAGGCAAATGCTAGTTAATTATGACTTAAAATAAAGAGATAAAGGGTTGCGATATTTTTAGCAACCAAGCATGAATTTCTGTAGGACAAAGGTCTCATTGAGCTTCCTGCAGAAGGCAAATATTTCTTCAAATAGACGTGACTCGCTGATCGTACTCAACAACCGTCCGGTTCCCTTCGTTGCGCGGGGAATGAATAAAAAAGGGGTACATGAAAATAAAAGAGATCCGCGGGAATGAGATTTCGCCAGTACTCCCGTTCCCGAGCCACGAAAGAGCCAAGTTAGTTTTATTTTACAATCCATCGGCTGCAGCGACACGCAGGGGTGGGCCTCGGTCCTTCATCGGTAGCGCAGTCGAGGAATAAGAGGAAAAGAGAGATCGGAAGGGAAGCGAGAAGAGAGAAAGAGAGAGAGGAGGAATCCTTCAGGACGGTTGGACGGGCGTCGCGACGGGGGTGGAACGGCTGTCAACTAGTGTTTTAAAAGTTTGCGACAGCCTACAAATTGACTCGCTCAGTTCTTTTTAAAAGCAGCGGCAACCAACCACGTCGCGCAACCCGCTTTCTGTCTGTCCTCGGCGCCAGGACCGTGTCGACGACTGAAAAATCCAGAAGTATTACTCCTCGTCACGAGAGGGAACGATAATTTTAACAAAATATCGAACTGATCGTGTTTAACAAAAACATTTGTTATTTTCTTTCGTCTTACTTTAGCAGATGTATTAATTGTTTCAGGTTACTTCCTTTAGCAACAGAAAATTAATTTAATTTGATAAGTTGTGTTATTTAGAAAAAAATTTTTCTTTCTAATAATTTTCTGAAAATGCTTTTATTAACAAACAAAATTTTAAATCATCTCACATTTACTTTTGAAATTACATGAAATTTAATAATATATAAAGATCGTTTCCCCATCTCTCTTTGAAATATATTTCTATAATAACATGTAGATGTTATATGTGTTATTATCAGAGTATACTTTCTTGCAAACATAAATATATTATACGAAATCGATACGACAAAATATTTCCAATAAATTGTACCGAAAGCTTTTCTCTATCATCCATTGTACATTTGATCACCATTCTCAAGAGTATTGCGAAAAGTTGTGGCCATTCTCGGACAAATCGACCTCTATCTAAAGAGACGGTCGATCCTGTATTGCGAATATGCTTGCGTGCAATTCGAATCCAGGAAGTTTAAAAGTATTTCGACGTAAAACGCGGCCATTTCTCATATTTTCTATGCAAGCACGCTCCGCCGGGGGGGCGCATTTGATACACTCTATTAGTTGCATCTCCCGACTGATTTATGAAGTTACTCTCCGCATTATTATACATTTCCCCCGTTTCGAAACTGGGATTTACCGCAGTACGAAGTTTAGTGGCTCGCGTATATTCCATTAGGCAAGAAAGATCAATAGATGTTCTATACCAGCTCAACATCTAAATTCTTAGAAATCGTATTATAACGAACATAAATATAATACATTAAGATCATATGTATAGATGAATAAACATAATCTCTGAAGAATCACATATTTTTGGCGATCAAACATTTTTACACATTTTATTTGGAATTTATATTGTTTTGGACACATTACATTTAATTTAATTTAATAGTCTTTACTAAAGTTTTATTAATTTTTTTTTGCGCGCACGTTGTGACAATTATAATCTTTATACTCTATATACTAACGGGACCAAATATTTTACACATCAATCAATTGCCAAAATAAAAATACCAAAGCAAAAATTATATTAATAAAACAATATAATTTTATAAAAATCTTAAAGAGAAAGTTTTTTTACGCACAGTTAAACATGAGAGATGTGTTTATAAGTAGGTATTTATTTATATCACAAAATTAATTGGTTCATATTTAGTAAATAAATATATTACATATACAGCGCGTTTTAAGCGGTTCTTAGACGATCAATGTTATTAGATAATATTTGGTGTATTGCACAATATTATCGATATATCTAGAAGCTGCATTGGGCTTCTAAACAATTTTGAATTGTCTAAAGAAGGCATCAATAATATTGTATAAAATGGTTGTACCGCTTTGTAAGTTATAACAATAATGAAGTATTAAGAAAGGAACTTCTCAGTCTTCTTTTCGTATTGTTCTGTAAATATCGTCCTCAATTCTCTGTAAGTTCTGGCAAGTTTACCTCGGGCGGCAAGTCCAACTATCAGGATCGTTTCAGGATTGTTCGTGCTTCTTCATCGGACTTCCTGCTATATAGGCAAAATCGTCGACGGACGCGATTGTTCAAACATCGAAAAATTTTGCGAGAGAAAGGACGGTGACTTCAGATTGCTACTCGTGGTCGTTGACACGGTGTCTAACACGATTGATCCGCAATTTGCATTCTCAATTTGCTCGTTGTACCATTGATTTCGAGCTGCTTCCACAACCATCCAGAAATACACGCTCAACACTATAATTATTGTCAAGTGTAATTATTGTCAATCTTGTACAGAATGTGTGCCATGTTTTTTTTTTTTGTTTAATAAAATCAATTTATCTTTACGACAGATTTAGTAACAGATCATTACTCATAACGCATCATTATTCACAACACACCCTTCATAACGCTAAATAAATAAATATTTTTGATAAGATATTTTTAAGAATAAAGTTGTTTAACAGCGTTTATTTGCATTCAATCCAGTATATAGATAAAGGTATATTCAGGATACATATATATATTCAGAATTCAGTGATCAGAATATAATATTTACATTAAAGTCGCAAAAAGATTAGAGTACTTACTCAAATAGACGCTGCATACTGTAGTATACCAAAAATATAATGTAGTCCGTTGATCATGTATTATATGATTAGATAGCGACACGGCCTGATCTATTACGCTGCACATTTGTAAATACATCCAAGGCACGGCTGCGGCGGCCGTATGTTTCTTCTGTGAACGTATGCGGAAGTTGACGTAGTCGTTAGCGAGTTGAGACAAGGCTGTTACGTGCCCAAAATACATCTCGCGGATAAAGAACGTTTGACGAATTTGTATTCGCTCGGTGACGTCGCTACGACCTTTATCGTATAAGAAAACAATGAAAATCGCTTGCGAACAGAGTAGTGTAAAAGAATTCTCTACTTTGCGACTAAATATTTTTGCGAAGAAAATAATTAAAAAGTTCGTAAAATTCCTCAGAATACTTTTATTGGAATTTAATAATTTCTAAAATTAAACTTATATATAAACAAGTTTAAAACTAATATATAAAGACACAAAATGAAACATATGGAATTACCTCACAAATTAGTTAAATAATCTTCCTTATCCGCGTGATGTCACAAAAAACTACATAAATGTATAACTTAAAAAATCAATTAGTTTTTTAGAATTAACTACACAATTATCTTTTAAACACTCACCGATAGCGATCCTATAGTAAGGAATATGCTAGCCGACAGAAACAAGCCGGCATATATGATGAAGGATATCAAGGCACTTTCCGCTAAAAATGTACGTTGCGTTATGCTGTACGTTTGTGGAAGCAATTCACGCATTTAATAATAAGTATGATCAAGTCTTACCTTTATACTTCACCCCTGTGCACTTTTGTATTATTTGCATCCAATTTAATCCTAGTATAGCCCAAGTCTTGACAGATTCGAAAAAATCACCATCTTCTTTTCTTGAAAAAAAGTTACTTACCAATACGTTTATTAACAAAATCGTAACGGACTGAAAAAGGAATAAATACGCGAAAAGTTGAATGGGTTACAAATGAATATAGAAATAAAAAAAAAAAAATTAATATAACAATTGATATAAATTTTTAACACAATATACCTTTGTACCAAAATATTCGAACAACCATTTCTGAATTACTCTTGTAAGTATTATAATTATCATATTTCGCTTATCTTTTAATGAAATAATTAAATTAATGCGAAAATCAAAATATTTCTAACACAAAAAATGAATGCAACTTGATACAAAAATTTCCGTAATGTAGATATGTATGATTTCTCTCTCTCTCTCTCTCTCTCTCATCCATTCATTACATTGACTGCATCGGCACTGGAAAACAGCTTTGCAATTGTTGTAAAATTCTTCAATATGATTGGTTTATACATTTAGATCGATAAGGCATCAAAAGTAAGAACCAATTATACTGAAGAATTTTACAACAGTTGCAAAGCTGGTTTCTCTGCTAAACGCAGTCATTATGTGCATGCTTACGTCAAATGAGAATGAAGCAGGTTTTATATTTTTGCACATATTCTTGTGTAATTATTACAACAATGTGACAATAATTATTACAAACATTCGATATCCCGTTTCTTTTTTTCCCCCACGATTGCATTCGATATTAGTAGATATCTATATAGTTATAGGTAATCCGTGAAAATTAGACAGCGCCATACTACGAACGTATGAAAAGAATATAGAGTCGAACACCTGATCGTAAAACCTTGAACTTACCATCGTATATGCTCCGATTATCCTCGCCGCAAACGACACATCGATACAACATAAATTACAACGCGTCATGACGAAAAATGTTTTCGTGCGATCGCTTTGCCTCGCGGATACAAAATGAAGCCGGATCTTACGGCGTGGACGTCACTTTTCGTATTACCTTGCCAAACAACACTTGCACGTTGTAAAAAGTGTAAACACACATGAACGGCGCTAAATACACATTTAAAGTGACAATCTCCGAAATTAATCTCGCTCACCGTTTTGTACCGCGCGAGCGAGACCTCGATAACAATTGCCGAACCTGTTAATGAATAATTAACGCTGTTTCGTCCGTCGAATAATGTGACGATTCACTGACAAGACTTGAGCATCAGGTCTCACGAGGAACAGAATCGTTCCATATTGCGCGACTGTCGCAGCGGATAATGTTGTCTTAGCTGTTCTAAACTGTGGAAGGAACGTATTATTGGTTCACCATTGTAATCATGATAATTAATCTAACACGTCAGCGTTTTATTATGTTTCTCAACGAGATCGTTCTAAAGAAATTCTGCAGAACTTATCGAAAGGAAATTATATTTAGAAATTATATTGATGAAGTACACTTTTTATCGAAATGTTGTAAGTTTCGATTGCGTGTACTTTTATTTTCAATTATAAAAATTAAACTTTGATTAATCGTTCTAATTACATTATAAAAATTCTATGTATTTATAAGAAAAATATTGAAGTATGAAGTTTATATGATTTTTATTTCCAAAAGAAATATGAAAACATATAATATAACGTATTAAATACATATGATTTTTATTTAAAAAAATAATTTTATATAATATTAATTATAATATAAAAATTAGTATTAGTTGGATAAAAGAAATATATACATATATGAATTTCAAACATACACTATAGTCTCGAAAATACTACAATCTATACTCCGCTTTGAGATACGCGCATGCGCCAGCTTCGCGCCGTTGGCCACATGCTCTTTCTACAACGTGGTATATAAGTATGTTTAGAGTGTTGTCTTATAATTTTACGCGTACTTTATTTTTCCGTGTACCTAAGAAAAAAAGTGATTTGTGAAACAAACGTACTAATGACAATTCAAGACATGGATATCTGTTTAAATGTGACGGCGGGTCCAGTTGTAACAACGAAAAAGGTAGGTGCTTGGTTAGGGTTACTTTATAGGTTAGGAAAGGTTTATAAACTTACTGCATGTGTGCAAAGAATTTGCACAGATTTTATTCATTGTCAGTTGTGTGTAGAAAACTGAATAAAAACGTAACAAAGAGATCGATGGATAACGTAAAATAAATGTTTGTATTCAGAATGCACTGAGAAGAACTAAGTCTTCCAAAACCTCAATTAAAAGGTTAAAAAATCAGTCTTTTCATAAAGATGCAGTACTAAACAGCAAGGAATCAAGAAAAACCACGGATACGCAAGAAACAGGATTCAAGAAAAGAATAAAACAGAAGTCATTATCAGCTATTTTTGCTAAAAAGTTGAAAGAAACAAACTCTGCCTTTCAAAACATACAGCAGCCTCAAATTTCATCTCGAGATAAAGATCTAATAGCGAAAAGTGCAAAGCTAAAACAAATTGAACCGATTAATGCAATAAGCAAGAAAGATGTGTCTGGTAAGATTCCTTTTACTTTGAACTTGGATTCCATAAATGAATTAACTACATCTTTTACGAATGCAACAAATGAACATGTTGGTAGAAAAGCGTTGGTGAAAAGGAAAGATAATTCAAAGGTTGAAAATAAACTAAACACTACAGTTTCGAGTCAATTAAAAAGTCAGAGTGAATCAGATTTATTAAATACGACTAAAAAACATAACATTTCTAAAAATAATTTTAAAGTAGACAAGATATGTAAAGTAAATAATAAATCAGCAGTTTTAAAATCTGATAAGATTCCTTCTACTGCAAACTCTGATTCTACAAATGAATCAACTGTATGTTTTACAAAGACAACAGAAAAACACGTTGATAGAACACTGTTAGCAAAAAAGAGAGATGATTTAAAAAGTGAATCGAAGAGATCACTTTCTGATATATTTTCAAATCAATTAAAAAATCAAAATGAATCAAATGCTCCAAATGTAACTCAAAAATATGATGTTTCTAAAGATAATTTTAAATCAGATAAAAAATATAAAGTAACTAGAGAATCTCCTGCTTTAAGAAACACAAAGGAGACAGATATTTTGGACAAAAAGAAAGAAAAAAGATGTAAAAAGAAAATTGTAAATAACAACAAAGAATCAGATGAAATTCCAAAATTAATACACAGAAAACTTTTCTCTCTATTTCGTAATAATCCTGATGTACCAACCATAGGTCAGCGATTTGTAAAACCTGTAAATGAACCAGTTTTTACAGAGATCACTTTTGCTGATCTTAATATTCATCCATATATGGTTAGTATTTACATATATGTAGTTAATATTTGTAATGAAAATATTTGCTGGAAAATAATTTATAATTCTTCTCACAGATATCAAATTTAGAGCAAAATATGTGTATAACTAAAATGACAACCGTTCAACAAAAAGCGATTCCTCAAATCTTCTTAAATAAGGATGTTTTAATAAGATCTCAGACAGGATCTGGAAAAACATTAGCGTATGCTTTACCCATTGTTGAACTGTTACACAAAATTAGACCAGAACTAAATAGAAATAGTGGTTTATTGGCTCTTGTAGTTGTTCCAACAAGAGAATTGGCCTTGCAAACGTACGAGTGCTTTATAAAACTGGTTAAAGTAAGTTAGACGAATAAATTTTGCATATATTAACATTTATTAGACATACCAAGATTACATTTTAAATAATTTTAGCCTTTTACTTGGATCGTACCAGGTTACATAGTTGGCGGAGAAAAGAGAAAAGCGGAAAAAGCTCGGTTACGTAAAGGATGTAATATATTAATATCTACTCCTGGTAGATTATTAGATCATATAAAGCACACAAAAGCGTTGAGATTAAATAACGTTAAATATTTCGTGTTAGATGAAGCTGACAGAATGCTTGATATGGGATACGAAATGGATATTTCTGGGTAGGTTTCATTTTTTTTTTTTATTTTATAAAAGAGGACAGTATATTAATTTCATATGTAAATTATTATTTTTATTTAATATGTGTTAATAATAAGAAAGTATAAATAATAACGTGAACATAATTACATCGTTTAAAAAATTATAATGATACGTTTTGTGTAATTTAGGATAGTAAGTGCTTTGGAAGTATCATGCTCTGATGATGAAAAAGGATACGACGCTATGAAAATATTTAAACAAAATAATAGTAAGAAGATATTTACAGATGAGAAAATTGAAGAAACTTTAAAAGAAGATGATGTGAAGTCCAAAACAGAAGAAAGTAATATTGATAAAAGTGATAGTGATCGTGCCGCTAGTATCGTTTCATCAAAAAAGATGAAAAAAGATACAAAACATTCTAGTATAAATAAAAAATCTAATTCGATAGTGAAAAATATTCAAAACATCGAGGAAGATAATAAAAATCGTTGGAAAAGACAAACAATTTTATTATCTGCGACTTTGACCCAAGCTGTTGAAAAATTGGCGGGTCTTACGATGCACGATCCGATCTTTGTTGATGCGGCTAAAAAGAATTTAGAGATGAGCGGGGGAGATACTAGCACGATTAACGAAGACCTAATAGTTCCGCAAAGTGTGATTCAAAGTTACATAGTCACTCCGCCTAAATTAAGAATGGTCACTTTAAGTGCTTACATCGCCGGGAGATGTCAGGTAGGAAATATCTCTATTTTAACAATAATATAACATTTTTTTATCGTAACTTGTAAGCATTTTCTATTTTTTTTTTTATAGACTCCTGGACAGCATAAAATACTAATTTTTATGGCCACACAAGATATGGTAGATTATCATACCGAAATTTTGTCTTCTATTCTTACAAAACCAATAGACGATAATGACGAAGACTCTGATTCACTGGTTGATGTAGAATTCTTTAAATTACACGGTAATATGACACAGAAAGAAAGGACAGAAGTCTTCAAAACTTTCAGTCAAGCAAAAAGTGGAGTACTGCTGTGCACAGTAAGTTGTATATTTTATCGGTAATAGCATGAAATCTTGAAACGTTTACGAATATATTCTGGACGTGATTAAATTTTTATTCTTTTGTACATCATAAAACTTAAATTTCTTTATTCATTTACTTTTAATGTACATTGCTTGTCATAAGATGTTTTACTTGGAGTCAATATGTGTGTACTCAAAAAATTAATTATTATAAATAAAAAATATAAGCGTATAAAAGCGATGGCAGAGCGTTGAAAAATTAAGAGAGAATAGCGACGAAAGAATAACAACGAAAGAAAAGCCAGGAATATCTGTCGGCACTCCCTGAGCTGTAAATTACTTCGTGGCTTATTCTTTCAAGAGGGAATTTAATACCTCTGGACCCACGCTGTGTTCGGAGGTTAAAAATTATGCAGACGCATGAAACCTTCGTAATGAGTATAATTACGATCATTTGTCTGTTTCCTATATCGGTGCTTTACTTCATAAAGCAATTGTTTATAGGAGTCCAAACTTTGCGATAACAATTTTTTTCTATTACTAATTTTTTCTGTTACTAATAATTATTAATCTCCTGTGAAATATAATACAAACCGCAGGACTCTTGAATAAAATCTCTAACGGAAAGATATTTCTTATTTTCGATTCGAATAGTAAACGCAAAATATTTACCTGTTTGCGATAGATCACAGAAGTGCCTGTTCCACTAATTGCATTCCGCGAACAGCATAATTAATCATGACGCGATAATGTTTGCGAAGTAACGGATAACTTTCTTTCTCCCCGTTGCTAATTACATTCGTATTACATCGGCCGAATTAATCTGACGTCGAATAACAGAGCAACTTTCTGATTCACATTGAACTCTCGGCGACTGCTTTAACTGCCGTAATTACCGGTGAAAGCGATCGATTTCGTCATTAGACGCGGGGATAGACTGTCGAAAATAACACGACACAGCGGGTCTCATTTCTTCATCGACCAATTTAGATTTTAACGTGAAATATTGTTATGGCACTTTCACGTGTCTGAAAGTATCGCAGATATCAGAAGAACGCGTGCCAAAGAAAGAAAAAAAATTAAATCGCGTCAGAATGTGCAAATTGTAAACTACACGATCGGCGTCACGCAAACGAATGACAACATATACATTGTAAAAATTAATTCTTTTCCATCAGGCAATCTCTTGTTTGTAGAGTCAATGTCCGATTTAAAAATTTCGAAGTCTCGCCGCAGGTCCTCAGATTATTCTTTCTACTATCCTCGTTAAGCTGTATACATTACGATTAATTGTCGACCCATTCTTTCGAATTGCGCGTGTCATGAATCGCTCTACAAAAAAAGAACAAGATCAAAATCTACAAAATTGATTCTGAATATAACGGACATTCATTCGTTAGACTTTATAGCTTTCTTTTCTCACAGTTTTATTTACTCTGGGATTTCGCATATGCCATAATTTCTCTGACAAAACAAACTTTGAATAAAGAAATTACTCGTGTGAATATAATAATAATAATACTATATGTGATGAAGCGAGGCAATTAACATGTAAAATGATTAACATTATGATATATATATTTTACATGTACTTCTTTAGAAGCATGCAAATATATATATGTATATATTCTGTAACGTTTTAATTATCTAGTAAGAAATTAATTTTCTTGAATTATGTTATATTTATTATATTTAAAAATACATTATTTTTTAGATATTTTTTTCTACTTGCGTTATGTTAATATAAATTAAACAATCTTCAATTTATAATTCTTGATTATAAAATATAATACAGAAAACCGGCCATAACATTTTTTCTGAATTATATTTTATGGTTTATTTTTTTATAGGATCATCCTGTGTAAGATCATTTTTAATTTTAACACACATTTTGAAAAATCGAATTTAATTAATTCCAAATTTACTACAGTTTTTGTTTGATTTTAAATATCTAATTTAATAATCTTAAAAACGCATAGTAGATTTTTATTAAGATTATTAAAATATTAAAAAATTCAAAATCAAAAAATACATGAGTAATTACACTGCTATAAACATACTACATGTTTACTTGTTATTAAATCGATGAATCCCAGTTGCGCGAACATATTGACGTAATTGCCGACGTTGAAGCAAGCACAAGAGGGAGAAGGAAGAAAATGGAATAATTTATTGTATACTTAGAGAGACATTGGGTATATTTAACTCCTTAATGTTGATCCATGGAATTCGCGATGGCAGCCGCCCACGTTTTACGGCGTCGCTACCACGTAGGTTTAACGGCCGCATTATTAATTTCCACGTTGAAAAGCCACGAGGGCACCCGCGGCCGGAATATTCCGCGGCTCTCAGCGGTGGTGGATCCGGATCCACGATGTGATCTATGGCCCGAGTGAGATGTTTTGAGCGGGCGATCCGTTCTCGATCCTATGCGGCCTGCGATCCCCGGTCCCTTTCTTAAACGATCGTTTGTCTTAATCGCCGCCATCGATCGCTTTTCAGCGTGCCGCTCTCTTTACGTGTGTTGAAACCGGTGGCAGGTATCCTGCGCTTGTAGCGTTTTAATGTGCCAAATGTACTTGCTATGATTATGAGCGTTATAAGTAATTACAGACCTACGTAAAATTTTAGAGAAATATTGTTGGGCAAAATGAACCTTAAGTGATAATATCGTAATACTTACATCATAATATCGTTAATTAGTTAACGTTAAACATTAAAAGCTCAACTAACTTTTATTATTTATTTTCTATATGTATAATGTATAAAATGTTATGTAAATTGATGAACTATTTAACAATTTAACTATAAATATTGATTTGAAAATAATTTTGTTCCGATCCTCAAAATAATTATGTAGAATGCTCGAACTAGTTGCTGGTATATTAAAACTCTTTCTAGCAATAACTCTTTTCTACAATACAATTAATTTGATTATCTCACAAAATTATTTTTATATTTATGCCTATTTCAATTTTTAGATATTTCATGTATGAACATATCATATAAAATTGCAATATCAGATATTGATTTCTTTTTTCGTTTAGTATTTTTTGTTCTCATTTTGATATTTTTAATCGCACGAAATAAATAGTTAGAAATTGTTTTATCGATATTCATCAAACGATAAAATGTAACGGAATCATGGGGCGAGCTCAAGAGATTCGGTCCGATCGACATTTATTTCGATTGGTCGGGAATTTCTTTCTCGTACTCCTTCACGCTGGCGCCCGGATCGCGCCGTCGTCGACGTATGTTGAATTAATAGCAGGAAAAGATGTAATAAGAATACACGGATGTACGTCCGTATCGTGCCGCGAAAGAATTCCGGGGTGCCACGACGCCCCCTACTGATGGTCTGGGATTAGTCCTCTGGGCCCCGTCAAGCAGAGATACCCGGTGAGGCTCTCGCCGCGGTAAATCATCGACTAGCCGAACGTCGAAATCAGGGCCGTGCTCAAACGTTCGCCGTTGGGGTCTCGCAGCGGGCGCTCGCTGCCAGCCGTGTGCATTCACGTCGCCACAAAACGAGAAATCGCCGCGGTTTGTAAGACATTTGTACCAGCAGGTCGTAGACTGGCCGTTGCCGCTCTTGTTCGTGGAACGAGCCACTTCTCGTACAGTCGGAGAGCGATAACTACCGAGAACATTGTCCCGGACAAATTGTTGTAGCGAAATGACGAGGTTCTGGTTCTCATTCGAATTGTCCAATATCAAGTTCAAAGTGCTTCGTACCCCGATTTAGTAAAGATCTGAAATACTACACCTTTTTTGTGAAATACGCATCGTGTAACTTATGAATGATTGCAAGATTTTTTTGTTAAACTGCAGATTTAGATAATTTTATCCTTATGTTTATATATTCTCTCAATATAAACTCCTTGAAAAACATTTGATGTTCAAATCGCCAGTTAAGTCCAGAGTATGTAAGGTATATGTATATTTTTCAATTGTTCAGGATGTTGCAGCTCGAGGATTAGATATGCCGAATGTTGATTGCGTTGTTCAGTATACTGGTCCAATTTCGGCTAGAGACTACGTTCATCGAATCGGTAGAACCGCGCGTGCAGGTTGCTCCGGCACGGCGACAATCTTCCTAACGCCCTCGGAAATCGAATTCGTGCGGATGCTCGAGTCGAGGCGCATCAGAATCAAACAGCAGGACATGAACGATGTCTTGGATAAGCTATTGGGGCCTCTTTCCAAGCATAACTCCGTGCGGGGAGCCGCTGTCGCCCTCCAAAACGATTTCGAAGATTTAGTACTGGAGAATCGGAAACTTGGTGCAAAAGCATGTAAAGGTAAGTACAATGTAGTACACTATGTAATAAAAGTATATATTCTTTCTTTGATTTTATAAAGTGACTAATCGTTCGAAATTTTAAACCAGATGTTGAATTTGACTATAATTTTATTATTTATTATATATTTCTACAGAAAGAATGATTTTACTGAAGTAAAAACCTAAAAATTTAGCTAAATACGTATTTGAAATTAATTTTATTGATCAAAATAACTATATGAAAAGCTTAAACATTAATAACAGTGTTGCTAAAAATTTATTATTAAATTTTAACATTTAGTAAAAAAAATTCTAATAATTAATAAACTTTCAACATAATTATTTTGATGGTCCAAAACTATTTCTCAAATCTGTATCTATAATTAAATATTTTAACATAATTGTTCCTTCTCTGTATCAATTTAATACTATATATTAAATACTACAAATAAATACTACACACACACATATATGTGTATATATTGACTGACAGATACAATAACAAGGTATTTGTTGTGCTACAATAAATAGTTACATAATCCTCTTTCAGTTATTAACATATCATATTCACATGTACATTTTATATTCGCGTGCAATAAAAGCTTAAATCTTTGCTTTCATGAGAGGCAAAGTGTTGATGAGGAGTTACGAAGGATGAGTGAACATCTACTTTGACGCAGTTGGATTGTAACGAAAGCGAGCTGACTTTCAGGGTAGACTAAGCCAATTCCAGCGAGCACCCCACTCGCATATAAAGCAACCCCTACGCGTACACGTTATGGAGCTCTTATTCCGTCTCCCTTCACATTTGCCTCGTTCGCCACTTGGATATTTACATAGTCTATGGACGAGGAGGGATGATCCTGTTTGCTATGCCACGGTTACTCTATTAGGGTCGTTATGGAGAAGAATTTATTTGCTGCAATAATAAATCCATTATACCCGGTCTAATACTCGTGAAGTGAAGACATTAGCCCTCTTCACATTCACGATGACTTTTTTTCCCCGCAAATCTATTTGCTTTTCCATATAAATATCGTCAGTTAACTTGTTGCTTCCTTAAACCACTTCTCGATTACTTTATTTAAGACAAGGCAAACTTTGTCGTTTATAAATATGAATATGTACTCAATTCTAAATTTTTTGCTATCAAATATGAAAAGCTTTAGCAATTTTTGCTTGTGAGGCAATAATAGTAATAGTATATAATCTTGCTTATCTTACGAAAATTACTTTTATAAAAGTACATTAACGACTGGTGTTACGTCGATTGCCATAACCGCGCAAACGACAAACACATTTCCAAAAAGGAAATTCGGGACCATTAATCTTTTTAAGAGGTTTTCAAGCTTCGAAATTATCCCGCATCAGCCAAGGCTTTACACGAAGGTTAGCCACGGTTTTTGAGCGCTTAGCCGCCCCAGATTTGAGTGACGTTACACAGCTAACCACTTGACCGTTCCTCCGCACGTACCGAGTGATTGATAGATTAATTGCTGCCGCCGTTCGTGACCTCGGTATTGCACTTTTCGCATGGAAACCGAGAGAACGAATGAGAGGAAAGCAGGAAGTGGATAACAAATTAGTTAACATCTTTTGATATATCTACTAGGTTTCGATATATCTACATTTGCGTTTATTGTCTATCATTCGTTTGTTCCAATATATGCCCATAGAGACAAAAATAATTCAAAATGTTTAGGAAAATCTCTTATAACAAAGAGGACAATAATATTTACAAATATTTTACTGCGAAATATTTTCGTTTATCTCAAGAATAATAACATATGATTTGCATTTACTAGTATTTTTATGAATATTTTTTTAACACAAGTAAAATTATTTTCAGATATTCCTATATTTCTTTTTCTATTTGCATTTTTATTGCAATTTTATGTAGTCATGCATTTGATATCAACTACTTTACATTTTATACACAATTAAGCTAAAAAAAAAATCAGCTATACTTAAATCAGCGTCGTACATCAGAATACATAATACAAGGCAAGAGTATAGGAATTAAGATCGTAAAAATGTTCGTACAACAGAAGCACAATAGAAAATAGCGCGGCACGTGAACACGTTCTGCGTTCTCTTCTTGACAATTCCGAAATTTATTTAATTCGCAACTGATGCGAAGACCGGTCGACGAGCGGAGAAGTGGAAATCTCGCTAATTCGTAATATTATCACCCCAATAGAGCCGAACAGCCTTCAATAGCAAGTACAGCTCTATAGAACAAGCCCCCGAGCTACGACCCTCGCCACTAACCTGAGAGATTCATCCCTCACTCCTATCCCATATATACGATTTGAGTCTCGTGTCGGTTGGCTATATTCCATTCGTCATAATTCTCTGTAAATATTTTCTTAATATTATAATTTAGCAGAAATGGTGTAACAGATAATAATTACAGATCATAGATTTGATCTTATTTCGATTAAATGACTTACTTGATTTAAACTCAAGGCAATAATACGTAAATTTAAATGCTTGGTATTTTTAATCGTGCAGTTTAAAAATGGTCATACATGTGTCTGTGTTTCATTTTTTATCAGTTTATAATTGAAATTTTATAACAGCACTCGTATAAAAAAAAATTATACGTATATATTTTTATATAAATTTTTCCTACTTATTGTCACGACAATCGTAACGGTGCTGAGCTAATCTCACGCACTCGTCGCGAGTTAGATCGAATTCGCTGTATATCGTTCGCGCGCCTTTCACAGAGGGTGGTCGACACAATCCAACCACTGAATGTGACTTCCGCCAAAACCACTTACGCTTTGTGGCGAGAGACTCTTAACAATGCGATACAGGATACAAATACAATAAGACGCAGTTACATCACTTAGGAACAATGCTACCCCACTCTTACATCCCCGTTCTTCCCGCCACTCTGGCTTCTCAGTTAGACACCGCCCCCACGTGTGATTTATGTGCTAAATGGAGAAAAACATTTCTCCCTTTTCAACGCTGACACCAAGCCACAAGAAAGACGAAAGCAGTTTCTTATGCGCAGAAGGGAGGTGCCGAGATTGGAAGCAGACGGAAATCAGGACGGAAAACGTTGAGACATAAGTCCTACTGCAAGAGAATTATGAAAATTAGAGATACTTACAGATGGAAACTTTAAGTGGTACTAAATCTATTTAGCCATATATTATATATAAATTGCATTCATTATATTTCAAGAAAAATAAATGTCACATCTAAACATGAAAATACGGTAGCGTTCAGTTTATTTGAAAACTGACAATTAAAAAACGCGAGATATTTTTTTTCTATTTCGTACCTTGTTTCATTATTATAATCATTCATATATAGACTAAGATCCAACGATACTTAATGTTATAAACGCTTTTGAAACATTCTTCGATCAATTAGTAAAATTCTTTCTTCTGACTGGTCATTCAAATTCTTCGAAGCATTTTTGTAGCGTTAATAAATGAATCGCACCCGTGATGATCTTCCGCGAAATATCTTTCTTGCTAAAATACAGAAATTTAAGTAATTTGTGACGCTCGATATGAACAACCCGAGGTCAAATTTATCTTCCCTATCAGAATCGAGAGATTTTTCACACGGAACGCCAACGGTGGTGCACATGTCTAGTTCTCTTAGAACCAGAGATCCCCTGGGTTTCTCACCCGTGCGCACAAGCAAGAGACGTTAAGAAGGGACGCGAGGGTGACTATTAGCTGCAGCACTTGACTCAACTACCCCCCTCCTCACTGTTAATGCCTCTTAATAGCTCGCCACGGGGCGCGCACACACCCCATGGAATCGTGCGGCCCAACCCCCGTGGAACCACCTAATGGAACTGCGATTAATAAGGGCGCACTACATGTAACTGATCATTACATTCGTGAATTGCACGTGACCTCTGAAAAGTAGACGAGATAAGTGTACTTGATGTACGCGACATTTCTCGATTTTATCCGCATTTTACACGTACTCCATCTTAAGAGACTACATGATAATACGCACTATTCCTATGATGTTATCTCTCTCAATTTAGAAAGACAGAAGTAGTTTGAAGCATATATATATCTCTCTCTCTCTCTCTCTCTCTCTCTCTCTCTCTCTCTCTCTCTCCTCTCCCATTGAGTTAAGGAGAGATGCTGATATGTTCAGTTCTTTCTAAGCACAAAAGTTAAGATCAGGATATGCAATCTATACTTATTATAATACATCTATGATTTCTCCAAGCATAATTGGAAGACTTCCTGGAAAAACGTTCCAAGTATCATTATTATGAAAAGTAATGGAAAAAGGTTACTTGGAAAAGCGTTGCATGTTTTTTTTTATTTAAAAAAATGTTAGATGCAACGTTCTTCCAGGAAGCCCTTTAATTATCGCATTTAACCATAATAATTGCTGTACACATATTTTTTATCATACTCAACGTGACTGCAAATAATCTGATGCATATACATATCTGCAATGGGAATAATGAGTAGGTAGATGAAAAGATAGATAATTGTTTCATTTTACGTAAGAATATTTCTTTTCTGTAGCCTACGTCTCCTGGGTGCGTTTCTATTCAAGTTATCCGCGCGATATGCGCGAGGTATTCGATCGAAAGGAGCTTCATTTGGGTCACTATGCCAAGAGTTTCGCGTTGAGGGCTCCGCCGCAACAAATCGGCGGAATCGGCAAGAAGCTACGCGAAAAAGAAATCTCGAAACCCAGGCACAACAACCGTCTATCGTACAAGCCGTAAGTATCAGAATTTACTTTTTCTTTTAATTTGCGCGAAATGTAAATGTGTTTCACCCGAATTAATCTTAGGCTGGAATGTATGGAAATCATCATGGAGTTCAGCGACATATTCTCTAAAGTTCCGTTTGTTTCTATCGAGGCGTCACGTACGAGCGTAATTTCGGAAGCGTACACTTGGCGTCACGCACAGTTGCGGTAGACAATATGCTCCTATTTTGGGAGAGGACATCACGAATGGTCCGGCTGTTGACCCGCTCAGCTGACGTTTCAGCCGCGCGATCGCGAAGCCCATCGTCTCCGGAGTGACGGTATTAATGACGGATTCACGCGTGGCTTGGCGTGTTAACCGCGACGCACATCCCTTCCCCCCCCCCTCCCCCCCCCCCCTCGCCGCGCGCCCTTGCGCGCATACAGGCGTAGGGCACGCACACGCCGTGTGCGGGATAGCCTCGGCTCCTGGAGAGGTTGGACGCATCAAAACTGTCGCTCTGTGTCATCCGTCATGTACGACGAACGGGCGGACGTGTTCTACGGTGGCTGGCAGCCATAAGCCATACGGCTCTCATCGTGCTCGTCCTCGTTGTCCCCGTTCTCCCCCGGGCAGCGTTCCCTCTATTTCACTCCATCTAACTCACGTCCTCCTCCTCGCTCACGACAAATGTGTCTCATTCCTTCTCTCGTTGGCTCTGCCTTTCTCTTTCTCTCTCTCTCTCTCTCTCTCTCTCTCTGTCTCACGTTCTACCTTCATGCGGTGTGCATTTCACATGGCACTCTGCTGGCTTCTGCCCTTCTCCAGGCTGCTCTCTATCTCTCTCTATCTCTCCATTGTTCATAATTATACAATACGGCTATTAAACAGACTGATGCGACCGCCACTTCCGGTCGTGGCTGCGCCATTTACGGAAACCACGGGACGAGCACGAGCCTCCCTCCTCTCTTTGCCCCCTGTCGCGTCGTTTCGTCTCGCTCGTGTTCTCGAAATCCTGAAGCTGTCACCTACCTACCCGTTCGCATACTTCTTCCCCGCTCGCGTGTGCCCTCTTGCGTGCTCTGATTTTTTTTTTTTACACGAACGTTTCTCGCCCTCCATTCATGCATTGTTCTACTTTCAATTTTTTTTTTACTGAACATAATTTTTATAATATCATTTAAACGGGTAAAGATGTATCTTATTTTTCTATTTTCATTCTAATTATGAATTTGTTAGAACGCAACTATATAGTCATGAATATCTAATCTTATCGTAACTAAAGCATTTTACATTTGTCGCTTGCAATGCTTTGCGGTTTATATATGTATATGTATTTATACACATATACATAGGAACACACTTAGTCTATTACTCTTTCTTTTCGCGGTCGCAAACGAGCCAAGTCCAACTACCACAGGCGCTGTACTTCGTAATTCCTACGCCAACGTCCCTTCTACTTCATGTATCACGTCGTCTACATCACGCGAGTACCTTTCGCGTTTTTACCGAGCTTTATAATTCCTGTGTTCTCCGGCGATCATTTGCCTGCGCTGCCATATTCACGTTCTTCGTCTCTCTTTCCCTTCCTTTCTCTTCCCTTTTACACCGTCTCTTCTATGTGCCCTTTTTTCGCGTTACGCGCGGCGAATCTTTTTCCCCGAGACCGGCATTACGCATTAACGTGTTTAATGCGATTTGAATGGGCGTGCTTTGGGTGAGCACGACGGGCAACCGGCTGGTGCCCTCCGCACGGGGAGAGAACGAGTCAGTTTTAATGGGTGAAAGGCGGGCACTGAGCTGACGGTCCAATGGATCGAGAGACGACTATGGTGTACGCCTCTGTGGGTGCGATTACCTACACGTTTGTGTGCGTATCTTAGTCCAAGTGCGTTTGTCGATGTATGTATGTATGCTTGACGCAGTTTCACATCGTCCTCTTTACAGTCTACTGCAGGACCTCTGTAAGATCGTCGAAAATTTTCATAGCTTCGTTACTTTGTAGCTGGAAGTGTCATTCTGCAACTCGAAGAGGTAGAATTGTTTAAATTACTTTATTTATGTTTCATATAGTTTGTACATATTTTTTTCTATCAGATGAATATTATAACGTGATAACTTTGAACGACATCTTTTTGTCTATTTTTTTTTTATTTATGTTGTATATATATTTATTACTTTGTATACAACTCTATTGTAGTTAAAAAATATGTCGATTATTATACGACTGCCGCAAAATTAATAGCGAAACTTATATATGAATTATCGGTTAAACGGGAATTGTGCTATTGCAGACCATAAAGCATGATAATGCGCATTTCGTGCGTGACTCTCAGCGGTGGACAAAAACGTAGTGGCGGACATGAAATTTGGTACGGCAGTTGGTGGAAGCCCACCTCCGTTCGTCCGCGGGGTGTATCGTCGCGTTTTGATGCGCGCGCGCGCGCGCGTCCTGTTTTCTTTTTTCTTTAATTTTTTTTTTGCCTCAATTTCCGATTACCGCGCTCTGTCCTCACCACATGTCGTTTACGTCGAATTATCGAAAATTGCGGGTTAGTCCTAATGTGAGAATTAAAGTGCGGCTACTCTCGCTTCCAGATCTGATGGGGTGCCGCAAAAGAAGCAGAGGACCGGACACGGCGACGAGAAAAGAGCGGGGTTGTTGAAGAGAGTCAGAATGCTTAACACCTCCGAATACGATAGCGGTCTCGAACCCCTGAAGAAGCCAAAGAAGTGATCCCCCGTGCTTCGTCGCAATTGTACATTAACTCGATTGTATATGTTGTAAACAGGAACAGCGATTTCACATCTGTAATTCACTCTCTGTGAACCAGCACGTTTTTAACTTTGATTTGTACTAAATGTTTTGTTATAAATGTTTTAATCTAGTTTGCATTTATTTTATTATTTATATTTCCAAATATTCGATAACTTTCTTTTTAGCGGTTTTAACATGGAAAAATATACTTTCTGTAAATATCTTGCGTCTACATGACGATTAAATAACATTTGCCATTTTTACTATAATATTTTGAATATTTCGATGGAATTATCTTTTTTTATTAAATATCAAGAATTTTCAGACTTGAATTCTGGATGTAAGCATCATAATAAATAAGATATAATTTTATAATGTACATCACAAATTTTGTAATTACTTAATAACGATTGGATCTTTATTTAATTGCAGTTTCTATTACACTATCTTCGTTTTTTACGTTTCTGATGCCATTTAAGATCATTCCTGTAACGTTTTTCAGTTTTTTTGCAATAATTACTAATTGGTGGCAAATACGCTGCGGCAAAATGCAGTACGACGGAAAATGTCGGGTTTAGGGAAATTACCTGTAATAATATCGCGCTAATCGCACGGTATAGGCGACTACGTCGAATACGCTTTCGCGGTCACGAGATCGCGCAACGTTTTAACTCCCTTTTCACTGCCCGGCTCCGCTTATCTCATTCTCCTCACGATAATTAGCAATCGCCTTCTGATAGTACGTACTTACAAAACCGCCATTTTGCCGGCGTCATAACGATATCACGCTAATTGCGCTTTCGTTTCCACTTCAATATACCTTCCATGTGGTCACGAAATTGCGACTCGCTCTATCGTTAGAATCGAATTCAACGGCCATTAAGAACGAAAGTATTTTATACTTTGCAATTAGATATCGCTTCATTACTTATTGTCTTCTATCAGAGTAGGTATCTCAGTTTGACAAAGATCTATATTTATGTCATCTCTGTTATTTTAATTATTCTAATTGCGTCTTCTGTGTCTTTAAATATGTTTCAGATACTTCTGAATTTTTTGTTCAGAAAATTTTTACTATTATTATAATTCGATATACACGGCTCAAGATTCTTAATTTCGTAATGTCCTGATGAATGCACTTTGCATTTTGATGTCGAGTCCAAGTGCCCGATGTTTTTTTTTCTACATTTAATTTGATCTCAGTGCACTTTGGAGTCGGTATAAAACCGTGCTAGCAGCAACGTCGGAAAGCTTATACTGCATACATCGCGTGTAACACCTACGTATACGTGCACGCTTACATGTGTATTGCGATGGAATTAGGAGTTTCGTCGCCGAGGCTAATTTGCCAAAGGGTGCTAAAGAGCTAACGTGTCCTGCGGTGCTTCTTTCTCGGCTTCCTCGGACTCGATTTCAGGCAGTGCAAGGGTGCCTAAGAGACACATATACAAATATATACACGTGTATACCACAAAGGATCTCGGCACGTGATTGCACAGCTATGTGCCGGCAACGAACGGGAACGCATTTTTGCGGTGAAAAGAGAGAGAGAGACAGAGAGAGAGAGAGAAGGGGGTAGCATCGGACACGGGGCACATCGACGAGGGGGCCCCTCTGGAAGAACCCTTCGCGGAGGAAGAGCGGCGAGGAGAGACGTCACGTCGGACGATGGAAGAGGGAGGTGCGGGCACGCGGAAGGTATGATTAATACGCGAGCATTATTTTCGGATTTTTTGCCGCGCGATCCGCGAGCGCAAATTGCTTGCAAATAAAGGCGGCGTCGGACGACTATCGCCGCCGGTAGGACGGCAGCGGCGGTGACGGCGGTGGCGGTGGCGGCGGCGGCGGTGGTGGTGGTGGTGATGGTGGTGGTGGCGGCGCGGCGGCGGGAACGACGGAAAGGAAGTCACGGAAGGAGGCCGAGAGGAGAGCTCGTCCCGAGCTTAATTTAATTTAATTATGCCCTCTTTCTTCGCTACCAGAGCGTCCGAAGATAGATGGCGGCCACGGAATCTCGTACGTCTCGCCTCGGCACGTTGCACCGCCCCGTGCGAGCGTAACCGCGATTTCCGCGACATAATTCGATCTCCATCCAAATTATGCGAATCTCAAATTAACAGCGACGTTCTTGGACTTTTCTTTTCGTTTCGTATAAATTCCACAGAATTGAGAAAAAGGGAAGGCTCTATTTCTCACGCGGAGAAACAATAATTTTTTTTTTTTTTTTTTTTTTTTTGAAATATGATTTAATGGAGCGTAATTAATGTTTATTTATTGTATTAATTAAAATTTATTTTTTTAATCTATCTATTCCTGATTATATTTGATCGATATTTCTCGTCTAGCGACGAGATTCTATCGATAGATTCAAAAACTTGTTTTATATAAGCAAGAAAAGCAATGCAATTCAGCGTGCTTTGCCAAGAAACGCTACTCTCGCTCCGTTCTTCTTGTTGCTTAATGCGGTACGATCGGTACACGCCGCACTTTGACGCGTCCGATTCGCGTTTCGCCACATTCGCGACGGCACGCGATTTAATTCAATCGCGCGGGTTTCCACGCTGACGGATACGTTTTCGAGCGCCGCCTAGAGCGCGTTGTTACGCGGTTTGGCGCTTAAACGCCCCGCGAATTAAGGCGGACGCGTGATTGATCGTGGTGATAAATCGATCGTCTTGGGCAACATCACGCCGACATATGTTTATCGCGCGATCTGATGAAAAGCCGCGCATTCGCAATTTAATTTAATCGCGCACGTTATTTCGCGCCGGCGACCGCCGCGTGCGCACATTTTCGAAACCCACCCAAGTGGCCATCTGCGAGCGGCCGCATTAGACGTGCGAGCGGAGCAAAGAGTGCGATATTTATTCGTAATGCGCATCGCAATTCGTCGTGCCGCGGCATCAGTCATAGTCATCGCGAGCGAGCGTGCGCGCGCTCATAATGAACCGTACGATTAGGATATCCCGTTCATTCGTTCGTTCGTTCGGCGAGGTACGTTCCAGGGGAGTAAACGCGACTCGTGGAGACCGAATAAAAAGATGTCTCACGGAAACAGGGGCGGATTTATTCGCAAACTAAGAAAACTGTCAATAGTCTGGAAAGGCTTATTCAGTTTGGAATAATCCTTGGGATATAATGAGATTTGCTTTGAAATATTTAATAATGCACTTTAAGCAGGTAATATTATTTTTTAATTTTTTGAAAGTACATTTAACGTTTTAATTGCATTTTATTTAAATTGCAGTTTTAATTTAAAAAATAACCTTTATGTATACGTAAACTTTTTATAAAAGTAAAAAAGGACAAATATAAATAGATGGTGAGCACTGTGTGTGTGCAATAGTTTTCTGTCTATTTATTATATATTTATCTCTCTATGTTATCTCTTTATATACAAATAGATAGAAATATTAGATTATTAAAATAAGATAATTGAACACAACGAGAATGTACTACCTTGATGTTACAAAACAAAGATATGTTTTTTATGACTAAAAATACCTAACATAATAAATATATATATTAGAAGAAAAGGTTCTAATTTTATAGAAATCATGTGATACTTCTCTTTCATTTCGTTTATGCAAGCTTTAAAAGTCAGCTTCAGGCCTCCGCGAGAAAACGTTGTTATCCGCCCCTGCACGGAAAGAGGATAATCCTCATTACCGCGAGATATGCGCAGCTTGAGTCCGATTAACGCGACGAGAAAAAGGAGGGCCGCAGGGACCTGGGCAAGAAAGGACCCCACTGCGGGGACCGACTATAGTCGCCCCACACCCGCTCGTCGACGACCGCTTCTTACGCGTGAAACACCCGCGGTGACGCGCGATGCGCGCGCGCGCATACGGCTCTTTCTAATACGGGGCACAAAAACGTAAGCACTTATAAGAGGCGTCGATTATTCCACGTGATTACCGATTTCCGACCAGTTAACGACTTTTTCGAGTCGCTTATACCGCCGCGCTCGGACGCTTATTACGAGTCATTACCGCATGTATCCCGCTTGTTGCCTTTAAATTTCACGGCTCGAATCGGCATCGATCCCTCGCGCCGGTGTGTTCGTTCGAAATCGAGATCGAAATACGCAAGGTCTTTGACGTACCGCATTCTTATCTATAATTATTTCACAATGTTTCATTGACGCGTCATTGATTTATATATACAAAAAAAAGACAATTTTGCTGAAGTACTTAAACATTTTTAACTATAAATACAGATCTGAAAAAAATGTTGCTGTACCATCGAAATACATGTATATAGGAAACTTGACTTTGTTACATTTTATACCCCGTTTGAATTATTTTTAAAAATTATTTCTGTAGATTTCTCTTCTGTTCAATATATCGTTAATTTAACTAAACAATTTTTCAAGGAAATGTATTAAAAACTTGACTATTTAATTCAGTTCATTATTTATTAACAAAATATATATGTCAATATAAACGTATTCTGAAATAAAAAAATGTTATTTTTAACTCAAAAAATTGAATTATCATTGTTCCTTTGATACTTAACAATGAAGATAATTGTTAAAATGTTACAATTTTTTTCGACTTTGTTCATCGTGCTCTTAAACGCCCTGTACATATATAATTATTTGAATAATCCAACAAAATTATTTTATATCTGTGTGTAATTTTTGTCTTTACTTCGTTAACTTAAGTTTTTGGGTTTTTTCTCAATCGCTGGTACAATGAAAAATATAAGACAATTCGCTAGAAAATTTCCCCCTTTTTCTTATCAAGATAAATGATTATCATGAATCTTGAGGCAGGCCTATAATGTTTTAAAAAGGAAAGTAGAAGAAAGGCCTGATTGTACATTAGCTTTAATCGTAGTGCTTTTCTAAGAAATCATCGTTTTATCTGCAGATATGTTTGTGTCGTATGATGTACTATTTACTCAAACAAAAGATATTGCAAACGTTACGGATGTTAAAACAACATATAGTTTGCGTGACCATGTTACTTCTTAAGCATTCCAAGGTGTATAAAGTCTTCATCGTTTTCCGATTTCACGCTCAGAATTAACGGTAATTTATTACGAAAATTGCCTACTGCGGTTTGTCGA